AATTAGTTTATTTGGATTTATTGAATCTAAATCAGTGGGTTTCATTATTATGGCTCCGTTTGGGAAGATAGGTTGTGAGCTTTTTTGGCTATTTTAGCCATAAAAGACAAAATAGGCTATTTTAGCCACAACGAACAAAATATCACATCCAATCCATAATCATTACACTCTTCTCTCACAAAAAAAGTCAAAAAAGTCAAAAAGCCCTTCCCAAACCAAGCTTTTTAGCCTAGGCTAAAATAACCAAAAAAGTCAAAAAGCCAAAAAGCCAACCCGCTTCCCAAACCAACCCTATGTATGATTATTTGTTCTTAAAAAAAGTGTATAGAGAATTTTTTCATATAACATTATGAATGTTGCTAGATGTCTGTTATAGTTATTTTTGTTTAAGATATAATTGTCATTAAATTAATATTTCATTAAGTGTATACCTAAACTAATTAAATGTATGAAATAAAATTTCCCTAATTCTACCTCATCCCCCAATCACCACCTCCAGCAGCCAGTCACAGCCACAACTGCCATCTCCAACTGCAACATCCAAACCCATCCCACCGGCAACTACCTCTGGCGACCTCCCGCACACCACCACCTCCGACCACCTCCCTTGTCGTCTTCTTTTTCTTCCCATAGCAGACAAACTAATCAAAAGTGAGATGGAACTCATCAAACCCAGATGGAACAATACTTCAAATTTCACCAAAATAATATATCAAAATCTAAGAAAATAAAAATTAATCAAGTCTTGGTGCTAGACCTAATGCGATACTCACTCCAAGGTGGAGCTAGGTCGAACCTCAGCCCTATGGCCAACACTTGCTCCGAAGCAAGACAATCATAGGAGTTCGGCCCAATGTACGAGCATCACTCAAAAGTGGGCTGGGCAACATGGTGGACCTTCCAGATGGACAGAACCAGAGCAACATATTGGACCTCCTGGTTGGACAACCATTCTAAAGCAGACCAACTTAGAGAAGGCCAATTCATTAAAGATCTTTCTTGGGCCCACAATAGACAAATAACCCTGCTCCTCCCCCTCTGTATGAACAGAACGTGGAGACATGGAGGCGCAGAGGGACAAGGTGCATATATGACAGACCTGCATCCGAATGGCAGGCGGAGTGGTCGTCCTCCTCCAATGAGAGATGTCCGCTAATGAGACAAACAAAACAGACCTGCACCCGAGTGTCAGGCGGAGTGGTCGTCCTCCTCCAATAGGAGACGACCACGAATAAGACACGTTGGACAGATGGCGGAGAGAGAAGGACTTGAACGACAAACAACCTTCTCCTATAAAAGGTGAACACTATTCACTCTGAAGGCATCCGAAAAATACACACACTTAACACATATACACCCATTCTCTCTTCTTCTTCTTCCTAAGTCCCTGACTTTACCATCGGACGGGTTTCCGACCAAACCCCGGTCGGGCAGCCTCACCGTTTGTTATTCTGTGCAGATCTTCAATTCCCAAAGCACGCTGTTCATCCACGAAGTTCAACCCTTCTTCATAGTGCGGAAATCACCCCCGCACATTTAGTATTATTTGAGAGGAGAAAAGAAATTTTAAGGGTTTTCCAATTCATAAGTGTGGGTCTAAAATAATTGATAGGTACTAATAGGAGCACTTAAGTTAAATCAATGATGTAAGTAGAATTACCCTTTTCTTTAATACTAATTTGGGTAAATTACTAATAGGCCCTACTTTTGGGATTTATTAACCATTAAGTCCTATTGATAAATTTATCGGTCTCTTTTTTTTATGAATAAATTTATAGTGATAAATTTATCAATCAAAACTTGTAAATAAATAAATTTAATTTAATTAATAGAACTGATTGGTAAGTGGCCCTAAAAATTTATCACTATATCTATCAAATAATGGGTGCTCATAAATTAGGTTGGATCAGTGGCGATTTCCATTCACTATCTGCCCAACTGATTTCCATTCACTATCTGCCCAAACTTAAAAGGATTGGAAAATATATATGCATCCGTCTGTTTGGACCATCGATTTTCATTGTATGGTGGATCGGTTCAGTCTATTTGATTTTGACGAATTAAGCCTTCATTTGGAATGTGCCTTAGCTTTTGAACTATTTTAATCTAAAGTTAAAAAATCTCGTTTAGTGTGAATATTTTTTATTTTTTTGACCTGTTTAGGAGAAAAAATAAAATAATTATAATTTGAATATGACATTTTATCTTATTGAGTTAAAAAATCTATTTTTTCTTTATAGCTCCAAGTCCACCCAAACCTTCTTACCAAACGAACGCTACATGGATCCCTATACAATCCTAATAAATTATATGCATTAAATGGGAAATATTATAGTGCACACGTGTGCACCATATCTTAAAATTAAAAAAAAAATAATATTAATTTTTTAAATTATAACTAAATATATATATATATATATATCATAAGGTATAATTAAAAAATTCATAAATCATAATTAAAATAATTTCATAATAATAATAAAAAAAATTAATAATAAATTAATGTTATATGTATCAATTAGTGCACTAACTAGTATACTAATTGATAATGTGTCATAATTTAAGATGTTTTTGATATTTGTATAATTAGTGAGATCAATAATAATGTCATAACTAATATTGATACACTAATTAGTATATTAATTGGTACATATAGTACCATTCAAAAAAAAATAGCATAACAAGAGTACATATGATACACTATTACACTATTTTTAAATAAGTGTATAATAAAATTTCCCCACATTTACAATCAGATCATTGATCAACTAGCATATCACCCGTGTTGTGCACGGATTGTGTTTACAATTATCTATATATGTGAATTGTGATTTTTAAATTTTTTTTAAATGTCTTCTTTTTTTTATTTTTTTTATTATATTAAAGTTTAATATTTTGATAATAATCATATGTGTTAGACTTTTTAAGGAATTAAATTCTTTTTTTTATTATATTATATTAAAATTTAATATTTTGATAATAATCATGTGTTGGACTTTTCAAGAAATTTTTTTTATGCTTGTTTTTAATGCATGAATATTTTGATAATAATCATATGTGTTGGGACTTTTCAAGAAATTCATGTGTTGGATTTCAAAGAATTTTTTTTATGCTTGTTTTTAATGCATTCTTGTTCTTAATGCATTAAAGTGTTATTATGAGGGTAAGACTTGGGAGTTGGGAGAAGTTAATAAATGCTAAGATTTTTTTTTTTTAAATCAAAAAATCAGGAAATTTAAATTGGGAGATTGGAGCCCCCACAAGCCTTGGAGTTAAAAACCACCTTTTGCTTAATATATACTTATAGATAGATGTGTTGAACTTTTCAAAGAATTAAATGTTTTTTTTTATTTTATTATATTAAAGTTTAATATTTTGATAATAATCATATGTGTTGGACCTTTCAAGAATTTTTTTTTTTATACTTGTTCTTAATGCATTAAAGTGTTATTATGAGGGATAATAATCATATGTGTTTGGACTTTTCAAGGAATTCATATGTATTGGATTTCAAAAAAAAAATTTTATACTTGTTTTTAATGCATTAAAGTGTTATTATGAGGGTAAGACTTGGGAGTTGGGAGAAGTTAATAAATGATAAGATTTTTTTTTTTAAATCAGAAAATTTAGATTGAGAGACTGGAGCTCCCACAAGGCTTGGGGTTAAAAATCCCCTTTTGCTTAATATATAGTACTAGTAGTCACCCATGCGATGCACGAGATTTTACAAAGTGAACATAATAAATTTTAAAAAAAAATTTATGCTATTTAGTTGTATTTTCTAATATAAATAAAATATTTTTACTTAATTTGTGTATATAAATCTTATTATCCATCATTCAAAATTTTTAATACTTCACAACATGAAAAATTAAAAAACATATCATATATAACATATATCAATTTAATAATTGCAATCAATTATTGAAATGAATTTTTAAGATATCATATATAACTAATAATTAGATCAATAGAGACTAAAAATGTATAGTAGTAGTTATACCAAATATTATAGGACAAATGATATATTTAAGAAACATGAATAATATATACATATATATATTTATTATGGTGAGTTAAAATGAAGTGATTGATAATTGTAATATGCACGAATTATTTAATAAAAATTCTTTTCAAGTACTATCACAAAATGCATTCACTACAAGAAATTGCATATTTCGCAACGCAACAAAATATGTTGCTAAAAGGGAAAATTCGTTGGCAAAGAGTTTTGCCGACGCACAAAGCTACGTTGGCAACCCGTAGGCAAAAGTGAGTCGGCAAAAGTTTTTGCCGACGAAATTATCGTTGCATTGGTAAAAGTAATGCCTTTAGCGACGAACATAGTCGTCGATAAAAGCCTTCATCCATCGTCGGCAATTTACCTTGCGTCGGTAAAAGTCATTCAAATATGATGATTATGTGGCACTTTTCGCAACACAAATTTGCATGGGCAAAAAATATACTTTTGACAACAAAATATGCATCGGCAAAAATAAACTTTTAGCGACACATTTCCGTCGGTAAATGTTGCAATTTGCCGACGATTTGTTTGTCGCTAAAGCTTTAATTTTGGCAACGACAAATTGGCATTGGCAAAAAATACACTTTTAGCAACACAATATGAGTGGGCAAAAAAAACTTTTGGCTATACATTTACCGACAAGTTGTTTGTTGAGAAAGCTTTACTTTTTGGCAACGACAAATTTGTAACGGCAAAAAAAATTGAAAATCATATATATTTTTTTATAAGATTTACATATTTACAAGAGGCATCCCTCAGGCACTACTATTACAAACAAATAACATTGATATTAAATCACCTAAAGTTGATGTGTAGGCAAAAAAACACTGGGCAACGACAAATTGGCATTGGCAAAAAATACACTTTTAGCAACACAATATGAGTGGGCAAAAAAAAACTTTTGGCTATACATTTACCGACAAGTTTGTTGAGAAAGCTTTACTTTTTGGCAACGACAAATTTGTAACGGCAAAAAAAAATTGAAAATCATTTATATTTTTTCATAAGATTTACACATTTACAAGAGGCATCCCTCAGGCACTACTATTGCAAACAAATAACATTGATATTAAATCACCTAAAGTTGATGTGTAGGCAAAAAAACACTGCTGAAAAATATGCTTTTGGAAGCGGTGTATAAAACTTGAAAGGGTAAACTCACTAAAATACTCAAATACATCCAAATTGTGAACCCATAGTAAAAACAGCAGATAACAAAATGAAAATATGAAACTAACAACCCAAATTTGCAGCAGACCAGCATCTAGAAGCAGCCCGCTTCACAGCAACATTGCAGCAGCAGCAGCCCAGCAAAATTCTTCAAGCAATCAATTATTCATTCTTGAATTAGAGATTTGTATACAATATATTACCTAAGAGAGTCATCTCCATGAAAATAAATAATTACATAATTCAATTTTTCAAAAATCAACAATGTATAACAACAAATAATTAAAAGCACAAAACATGAAAAACTCCAAGTAATTAGAATCCATACATCCTGCAGATTTACATGCCTAATTATAGATGTGTATTGGTGCCTCTGGTGTTTTGGACATTAACATTTCTGAACTGAACTTGAACGCACCTACTAAACATTTTATGGTATGAGAAGTGAAAGTTCAATCAACTGTTACTAAAATGAGGTCACCTAATGAAGAACAGAAAGCTCGCTCATTTATCTTGAAAGTGATCATATTTATGTTTTTTAGTACATGACAATATTCGTTATTTTGAATTTCATTTGTAGATTGGCTGCCATTTATTCTTGTCAATTTGCATACTCAAAATATCAGATTTCCACTTTGAATTACTATGAGTACTGTTGGCAGTCATTCCCTTTCTATGGGACATCAAAATACGACCTTAATTTTCCCAAGAACCCTAGTAATTAGCAATATATGAATAGATGTTCATGGCAACCGCTTGCGTCATGTAAATAAGAAGTGACAGAACAATACCAGGGTTTTCTCAGCACATTACTCTTTTTTTCATCTATACAAAACAGAATTTGGACTTTCAACTGACATTAATAAGTTTAACATACAGAGCATAGGCTAGTATTCAAACATCATTGCCTCCTAATTTAAAAATAAATAAAATAAAAAAATCATAAATAACATTTTAAGCAAAAAATGGAGTTGAATAATAAGTATATTTAAAAACATAAAAAGGAACATACATGGCACTGATGTGACACTCATCATCAGAAAGGCAGGTGCAATTGACAGTACAGTCATACATAAGGGAGGAGTCCACTATTGGTGTTTGCCAGTTCAAGTTTTTGTCACAATGTTTCAAATTGAAATTCCAGCCTTTTTTACCCAGTTGTTTAGCTATTTCACCAAGAGTTTCCACTGCAGAAATCAAAGTCATGTTAGCCTTTAAAGTAGTTAGAGATAAGTGATATAACATGAAGAAATGTCTATGTATTAGCATCATTAAGTATGGTTAGATATCTTAGTATTTTTACAAATTGTGCCTAAAATGAAGTTCATGCATGAATAAACAAGGACAAATTGGTTAAACAAGATAAATAGTCATATCTGGAACCTTTTTTGAAAATGCCATTTACAAATTGGTATTATCAAAATGCCTGATCAGGAAACCTAACCATCTGACAGTTCAAACCTTTAAATTAACTCATATGTTATGACTACACAGCATGATTATAGAAGGTTTGTCTTTGACTCATGCCTGTTTCATCAAATATAAACTTTAAGGGCATTGAAGAGTAATCATATAATGCTGTTGTGATTTGTTAGTTTATACAATGAATGCAACCAAAATGAAGACAACACTGTGAAAAACAATAGTCTATCCAGCTACTTTAATACTATAGTGTGCAACAACAAGATAACACAAAAAAAAGAGAAGAGGCAACCTTAGTTCACAAGCCTATTTGCCTCTTCAGCAAGCTCTGTAAAGAAGAGAAACAAATGCGGGGTTAATTGAAGGACTGCTAGCAAGACCTTATGTTATGTACTTGGAAGTAAATGTTCAATAAGCTTATCAAACATGAAGGATGAAGAGAATAATGAAAGGGCAGTGGTGACTGGCCCAAAACAGCCACACACCTCATGCTGATCCTCCCTTGGAACTGTCAAGGAGTGGGGTGACCCTTGACAGTTCAGTTCTTGCAAGAGACTATCAGCTCATCACTCCAATATTGTCTTTTTAATGGAAACTAGAAATCAATCAGGAAGTAGAATTCTAAGAAATTGAGTACTACATGCTGCATCGTTTTGCCACGTTTCAAAGAATGAATAATACAGATTTCGCAAAGACTTGAACCCTGGATCAATGTTCTTCCAAAAACATTGATAAGTCATATTCACAATCTACAACACTTCTAACAATTCAATTATTTATGAAAGTATAAACAATTTTGAGATCAGCATCTGAATCTTCTGAGCATGTAAGGTGGCTATAGTTTAGAATGATAAAGAAGCTGGCATGTGATGAAAAATTAAATTTAAAATATAGATGAATCAATTTTGTAGCATTAGTACCATCTGCAAGGAAAAATTGATCTTAAGAAGCTTTGCCCTCTTTACACCATCCGTAGAAATTTACAGACCAGCTAGATTGATTTCAACTCATGTGATCGATCAAAAGGAATAGGCAGCTGCTGGGACAACAATGCATTCCCCACACAAAATGATCAACATTCTGGTAAAAGATATCAGGAAAACCAAACTGTTCTTGGTCTTTTCTTGATATAACCTGTGCGTAAACATCAAAGAAGAAAATCCTTAGGGGAAGTCCTTTATATATGCCCATTGTATGTAATTATCCCCGACATATCAACTACTCTAAGGAGATGAAAACCAAGAAATTTTTAAAAGGAATGCTAGCAATACATTTGTTTTGGACATTAATCACAGGCAGCTTCTTGTGTTGGTAATCTCCCATCTTCTTGGAAGAACTTTGTCCCATTTTAGCAATGAAACCCATAGCACTCGCGTCATCCCAAATGCCCAACTGTCACATCCATATTGGTACACCTAGCGCTCCATTCCCTTTTTTTTATCTCTTTTTTTCCCTTTTTTAAAAGAATATCTTACATTCTATAACAAACTATATTAATAGGAAAAACAGAGTGGGTAAAACAACCCCCAACGCCTAAGAAAGCCTCAAGACAAGTATTGTTAATATTGAATGAGAGAAGAAAAACAGTTAATCATTGGGGGCGAATTTGGGGAAATCCGCTCTAATAATAGCGGGGCAGGGTGGGTTTCCATTGGGTTCGGATTTAATTGCCATCCATAATTCTACCCAAAAGATTCCACCGATGAATCTCCGCCAATAAAAATTCATTTGAAATATTAAAACACACCTATTTGAAATATTAAAACACACCTATTATCCATTAAGGTAGGTTTTGGTTTTTGTTTACAAACATTTTTTTTTTTGCTTTCCTCATGTTTCTATTTCCAAGCTAACTAAAATAATGTACTGAAATGAAATTCTAACCCTTATATATAATCTATAAGCAAAATCCCATCAATTTTTAAAAATTAAAACACTTGTTTAGTGAATGTCCATCAGCAGCAAAGTGGCAACTGAAAAACATACACAATAAAATGAACTAAATAAATATGTGACGTACTCTCCTCACCAATTTTGAAAAGGCAAAAGCCTTAAAGCATGACAGATCATTCAAAATCAGAAAAGCATATATGTAAACAGCATATTTGTCCGATATCTACTAATTTAAGTTTTAGAATGGTATAAATCATTTTTATCCTTTTACTTAACATCATTATTTTTCAATTTGCATATCAATGACAAAACTTACAGACTTAAATTATACCAAATATATGAAGTTGCTAGGCCGTCACTAATTTTAACACCATTTTCTGTCAGAACTCAGAAGTACAAAAGAAAAGATTTTATAGAAACTTGCACCTGTTCTCCATATTTTTCTCCGAACATTGCAATAGCCCTAGCTTTTTCAGCATCAGTTATAAACCTGCCTCAACTAGGTCACAAATTTCTACTCTTTAAAATAGATGGAACTACAAAAGTTAATTTAATACCTGATATTTTTAGAATTTCCCACAAGCAATACATTGTTTGCGATGATTGAGGCTCTGTGAACTGCTGCTTTAGCATAAATAGCTGAAATTTCATTTCTTGCCATTCGCAATTCCTCCAATAGTGTTTCTACCCTGGCTGGTACATCTTCAGCTTTCACATTTGCAGAATGAATTTTAATAATGAAAACATTGGAAACAATCAGGTGTTCTTTATTTAGCAAAAAGATTACAAAAGAAAACATACTTTGAAAGTGGAGCAGAGCTGTTTCATGTAGTTATCTCTAGAATTCGATAAAAGCATCACCAGTAACGGCTTCTATACGTTTGATTCCAGACGCAATCCCCTGTTCTGAGATTATTTTCAAGCCACGTATTTCAGAAGTACTACTGACATGAGTGCCACCACATAGTTCCATGGATACACCCAGAACCTCTACAACACGTACCTAAAATAATCAGAGTATTTGAAGGAAAAATCAAATCCTATGTAAAAGTATGTTCCATAAGTTACAGCATTTATGTGTTGTGAAATGAGCGTATATTTTAACACCATTTTCTGTCAGAACTCAGAAGTACAAAAGAAAATATTTTATAGAAACCTGAACCTGTTCTCCATATTTTTCTCCGAACATTGCAATAGCCCCAGCTTTTTTATCATCAGTTAGAGGCATCACTTTAGTTTGCAGAAGTGTAGAGTCCTCAATCCAGCTATTGATCAGTCCTTCAATCTCCGTGAGCTCATTATCCAAAAGTGGCCGGTGGAAGTTGAAATCAAATCTAAGACGATCAAAAGCCACCAATGAACCAGCTTGTGATGTTTCCTAGCCTATTACTTTTTTAAGTGCAGCTTGTAGCAAATGAGTAGCAGTGAAATAAATGATACAAAATAATGAACATAATATTTAGTGCACATATTATGATAAGAATGACAATAAACAATAGGAGAATATACACCTGGACAAAAAATTAAGTATATAGAATAATAGCAATAAATTGGATAATAATTTTATAGTCAATATAAGCACGAGTATATGAATAAAAAAGTCACAACATTTATTTGATTATAGGAAAGAATGTATCACAATAACAAAAGGCATTGAATGACAGTAACACCCATGCTATCTCATGTTCTATTCAATCATCATGTTAACTTACAAAAGATATGTAATACAAGTAAAAAGTGTTTCAATAAGTGCCAGTTAAGCACCCAAATAGTATAGACCAATGCTAGACATTTACACCCAACCAAATTGTAATTAGCCACTGTTTTAAATTAAAATATAAATTATTATAGATTCTACAAATTATAACAGACCAATTATTAGTATAAAAACCTAAAATCAATTTCTCACAAACTAAAACAATATTTAACTGTTTTAGGTCCTTACCTTTTCTTTTTTTTTTTAGATTGGCAAAATAAAACTTTTATTGATGAACAAAGAACTCATTACATCAAGAAAGGAAAAGAGATGAGTGCAAAAAGTATCATAGTGAGACATACCAATCCCAATTAGGTTAGCACCAATATGCTCGTCCAATCCTTTGCTAGCACGCCATCAAGAGTTGGTGAGCAACCAACCAAAGCCAAGAAAAAAACCAGCAGCAAAAATCAGTACCTAAAATAGCTTTGCAGCAGCAAAAATCAGCAGCAGCAACTAGCAGGAATAGATCTCCAACAGCACTAGCAGATGCACAGCAAGCTCTGTTTTGAAAGCCTCCTCTGATCATCTTCCAGTAGCAGCACCCAAAGGCAAACACAATACACACAACAAGAGAATGTAACATATCAAAGAATTGTAATAGCAATTTCTTAGAATATAAAAGAAACAACCTCATACTTAATATTAAGAAAGTGAGTGGTCAAAATAAAATTTCATTCTAAATACTTTGAAGTTAACATTTAATACTACATGTCAATATTTATATTATCAAACTTATTTAATAATTTAACTGTAATAAAGTGACTAAAGACCCAATTTACACAAATAAAATTCTTGAAACTCCAGAGAGCGAGTTGTTTTGTGTTCAATCATCTGAAAAAAAAAAAAAAAAACTCAATTTATAGAAATCTGAGTTCAAAATCACACAAAACGAACAAATACACATGTTCTAAATACACAGATATAAATACACATTTTGTTTCAATTTCAATATACCTTTCCCGTATCATACATGTTCTAAACGAACAAAAATTTTAACAGCACAACCATAATTTATATTTTTTTCAACAAAAACCGGACAAAAAAATATTGTGAAGTATCAAATCAAGTGATAGGGTCTTCATTGATTTCAATAGTCAATCATCTTTTCGAGGAGTAATTTGATGATTCACACTTATTTTTGTTGTGTTGGTATACCCAAATTGCAAGTCCTAAAATCATTAAAACCTAAATTTAAAAATCACAATTCCTCAACCCAGAAACTCTCCAGATTAAATCTTCACCCCATATACCTAACAAATCATTCACAAAATGCCAACATAATGATAAACCCAATAGAAAAAAATGAGGTGCACAAGTGTCCCATTCAAAAACAACTAATCGTCTCAAAGCATCAAGAAATCTCAAACTCAAAAAAGTATCAGAAAATAAAAATGCGCCGAAAGATCTCAGAACCCGAGCCCTAATATGAAACCTCAGAAAACTCATATCGTTCATTTAAAAAAAAATCCCAAAAATCAACATTAAAACATTAAGCAGAGAGTGTACCTTCACTTCACAAAAACAACAAAACATCTAATTAATCGAAGTCGGAATACAAATCTTCGAATTCAAAGAAAAAATTGGGTAGAGAATGCAATATCGAGAGAGATTGAAACCCTTGTCTGGCGGTTTTGCTCATTCGAACCCTCTTTTTTCTCCATCTCTTCTCGGTTTTGCTCCTTTCCACTCTCCCTCTCGTCTCCTCTTTCTTCTCCTGCTATTTTCTATTTTCCTTTATGATTAGAAGACAAAGAGTTAGGTGTATTTTGATAGATTTATTTATTTTTTTAACATATTTTTTTTTGGTTATTGGTGCCAACGTGTATTACTTTGGTATTTTTTATTTATTTTTTATCATACTATTCACGACAGAAATTGTGCCGTGAAATTTTATTTTATTTTTATATAATTTTTTAGTGTTTGGCATTTGAAATTTTCATTTTGACACTATTTTTTTTTTTCAGTTGTACATTTCACCCTTTTTTTTTAATTTTTTGGAAAAAAAATTTTGAAACTAATTTCTGAAAATAAAACCAAACATATTAAAATTGATAATCTAACCATATTCTTTGGAAAAGTTTAAATTATCTCAAATTAGTCATCTCAACTTAAGAGTGTGTTTACGTTTGATAGGTTCATTTTGTAATTTAATTCAATGATCACTTTAATTTTACAATTCAATAACTAGAATATTTAAAACTTTTTCAAAAGTTATAATAAAAGCATAAATCACTAAATCATCTCGTTTCACTAGTAAAACTTTTACCAACGAATAGTGTTATCGTCGCTAAATGTTTAACTCTTTGCCCACGCCAATATGTCGTCGCCAAAAGTAAGCACACTAATAGCAACGCTCGTTGTGTTGCTAAAAAATAAGCATCGTAGCTAAAATTTTCGAAATTTTGGCGCCAAGCAATAATTTTGGCGCCTAGTGAATGTTATCCTTTTTTAGTGACGGCAATAAATTGCGTCGGTAAAGGTTTACTTTTACCAACGAAATTCATCACTGTGTCGCCAAAAATACACTTTTGGCTATGAAAAATTGACGTCGTCGCCAAAAGTGTAATTTCTTGTAGTGATTCGAATATCTATAAATCTAGAGCAATTGCATGAAAAAGTTGATAGACCTAAGTAGATTTTATGTAAAACTATATATAGACCCTATGTAAATTTATATGAATTTGAACATGTTGCTTGAAAAGATCTATCATTAAATAATACAATAGAATAAAGATGAAAAAAAAATTACATGAAATTTTATGACTTCAAATAGATTTCAATTAAAAAAATGATTAACCTCGAGATATTGCTTGCAAAGCTCTACATAGTGTTGTATTCTAGAGCTTATATACATGCAAAAACTCTCTTAAAGTTTCAATGTAGGTCAAGCCTTACAAGGAAACCCACATTTAATTCTTTAAATGCCCAATTCCACGAACCCAAAAACGATGTCAACTTCCCATTCACTCATAAATGGTTTTGACGAACCGTCTTCACCATGTGACTTGTTCCCTCTTTGTCACAAATATAACAATTGCCATTAAACTTGTACTTTTGAATTTCCCCTCCTTTAGATAGCATTTTCTTCTGCCATTTTTTAAAACCAGTTCCTAAGAACTTCTCTAATTTTTCACCATGATTGACTGGTACAGTCACAACTGGAGGAGGGGTTGGTGCAGTTGCAGCCACCACACTAGTACTTGTTTGGGCATTAGTTTGACCAGTTTCAGTAGCCATGAATTCAAAATTATAAAACAAAATTATAATTAAAATTTTATACTACACAGAAATTAAACCATAAACACAAAATTTAAATTCTGTAAAAATAAAAGCAACAAGAATTGTAACTTTTATTTCTAATTAATTTGAAAATAAAATTTTATTTAAACAAATTAATTCCACATAGAAAAATATTTCTGTAATACTTCAAAAATTATTTCTAAAAACCAAAATTAATTTCTGACCAACTTCGCAAATAAATATTCTAAATTGTTAATGACTACAAGTATATTACTACTAGTTGCAAAAAGAAAATAAACAGTATATTTTTACTATTTATTTTTTCAATCAGAATATTATTTTGTAAAACCGCAAAAAATAATTTTTGTAAGAAAAAGAAAAAAAACAAAAGAAAAATTCTGTATAAATAGAATAATTTGAATCTGTCTTAAGATTGTTGGAACAATCTTCTGTGTAAAACAAATAAGTTGAAACCAAATCAAACAAATAAAATAAATTAGTTATAGAATTTATTTACCGAACCGAATAAATATTTAAAAGATCAAGTCGAGTGTTTAACACTCTGTCCTTAAGACAGATTCACCACACTTCGTTTCTTATGGATAAATGGCGTCTATCTCCCAGGATACAATGATCTTCATAAATTGGAGTAGCACTCCAAACAATTTGTATGGCGAACCAAACTTGTGTTCTATATTCTTTGAATTTTTTTTCCCTAAAATATTATGAAGAATATATCTATGCAAGAGAGCAAAAGGAAAGCAAGAAGATGATTTTCAAAATGAGAAAGCTACTGAAAATGATCTCTATTTATAGGCAAGAAGGTGACCCTTGGACAGATCCGAACAAATGCGGTTTTGAACCGAACAGGTATGAAATTTGAATGAACAGATACAGTTCAAATTTGAACAAATCTGCAGCAGTTTTTAACCTATAACTGCTGGGCAGTTTTAAAATTGTAAAAACAGTTTGAATCTTTTAGAAATTTGGACCAGAGAAGACTTGATTGGACAGAAAAAATTGAATTCAAATTTGGCACAAAATTTGAATTAATTTTCCACAAGAATTTGAAAAATTCAAATAAATTTTGTCCAAAAAATTAATGTTAGAACCGACCCGACCCATAATCCACACCCAAGCTCGGCACTGCTCGGCTTAGCCGGCCAGTCGGACGGACGGACAGACAGCGGCGGTGCGCGCGCGTGTGTGGTGGTTTGAGCCAATG